GAGATGGTTGATTTTGATGAAATTTGGTACACAGGTCTGTTTTGGCTTAAGAACAAGGGATGTTAGCAACGCATATTCGACCATTTCCCATATGATACCTTATTTTGGAAAGTCGTTGTGTGAATAATTGCATTAAGAAAAATGATGCAGACTATTGAATGGTGGGTCATGGCCCACCATAGTTCTCTTACTTCGTTTTTATTTTTGTGTTTGAAACTCCTGTAGCAATCACCAAATACTCGTGTAGTGTTGTAACTGCTCTTAATATTTTTAGTGTCACCGATAGATTTTTTAGTTGAAGTATTCTTTCTCTCTCTCTCTCTTTCTTCTTTCAAGCTGTCTGTTTAGAGCATTTTTTCAAATACCATTAACCAAAGTGTTTGTTCTATTTCTAAGACAAGGAACATTTGATTATTTTATCAATCAATCTGAAGCATTTGCGAATTTTCCTTCCAATTTCTCCAATAACCTTCCAGCACACTTTGTTGACCGAGGAAGTTCCTTTTCCCGCTAAAGATTTCTATTGAGGGTCATTTTTAAGGCGTTAAATAGCGAGTCACTTGAAAGTACTACTTCTCCTCCTTCATGCATCCTCTCCCAACATCTAGTTTTTTCTCCTATGAGAGGAGAAATTACGATTCGTGGCTCTGCAACAATGGGAATAAACACTTTTTAAATTTTGTGTATTTTCTTTTTGTTTCTTTTACGATCTCAACTATGATTTTGATTCGAAATCAAGGAATTGATAAATAAGAATTATTTCGCATTTTAATCTCGATGCGTGTAAATTTTAAAAGCTTTTGTTTCTTTTTTAAATGCACATTATTTTTACTGTAATTGACTTTAAACTCATAAATTTATTTAAGTCCGATTGCCATGACAGTCATCTCACTCCAGGGAGTAATACCAGAAGAAAAAAACAGAAATAAAAACGAGATTTTTCCTACTTGATAAAATACAAAAAAGTCTTTTTTTTTACGTTATTCTGCACACAGAGCCAAAGCTTCTTCGTTTACTGTTTCGCTTTCTTTTTTTTTTACAAAGAGTCTGTGATATAAAATAAAAAAACAAATTTTTGTGAATACTACATCTATGCATACACAAACACATTTATATGGCTAGTCTGTTCAAAAAGTAACGGGACTTATTTCACTGAAATTGCTTCTAAGTTTTTCCCGCTGAAACTTGAGCTCGTCAGTTAGACTTTTCTATAAGAAATTTCACAGTTTGCTACGGGGCTCCAGCAACACATCACATTGGCAAGCCTACAATGTGAGCACAAAACTATGGGACAAAATAGGCGATTTTAATTAATATTAATTAATAAATATATGGGAATAAAATTGTGTGCACGTTGCTATAGATTTGTCGCCGTATTTTCAATAATTGCTCTCAAAAGAAAACCCCTATATTTATCAGCCTCGGTCGCGCAGTTAACTTACCTCAAATTTTCAAACAATTGATTTCAAATTTCAAGCATCACTTCGTGAGGGCGTTCTCCAGTGAAAGGCATAGTTTTTTTTTCAGAAAATTTTAATTCCAAAAATTCTGTCGATTTTAGTAAACAGCCTCCTGAAAATCGATTATAAAATCCGTTGAAATAGTTCCGCTTGTGCCGCCAGAGAATGTTATTATGAGTTAAGATTTAAAGTCAGTTGGTTGAGAACATTGGTATGCTAATGCGCCGTTCATGATGGAAAATGTAGTTCTGAGAAAATTCCGAATAACAAACAGAATCGAGAGAAAAATCTTAAAAAAATCTTTAAGCCACGCAAAAAAAAGGTTAGATTACATTTTTCAATTGTTTGGAGAAGGATGTAGTGGTTGCATAACATTAGAGTATTGTGGCAACCATGCACAAGCCCTTTGAGTATAAAGACTATTGCGATATTCTTCTCAGGAATATATCAATCCATAGGCATGAGCAGTCAAGCAGATACGGATTGCGGCTACCAAGTCAGTGATCGCGGGCTCAAATCTGAAGTTCGGTCTTAGCTATCGTGAGTGCTCACTCAGAGACGGTATAACATTTATTTGCTTATTTATCGTTAAATAAACAGTAGTGGACATATTTTGTTCCGCCTTTCCTGTAATCTTGCTATTCCCATATCGAAGAAAGTGATTAAATCAATTACCTTACAATCGCCGGTGCCGAAGTGTCACAAGACTTCGTTTCAAGTTTCATACCGCATCTGCTCTTTACCAGCGATTTACGTCAGTTCGGAGTTTACGTCTTTCGGAGCAGCTTGAGTTTAGCTTATTAGTTTTTACAAGTAATCGCCAAAGCCCTGCAAAGTAAGTAAATGCCTCAGTCTGCCTGAGATGTAAAAGAGGGAGTGTTGATGATGCACAATCAATGGTTTATTACTTGTATTGTGACATATTAAACCTCTTGAGGGATTAAAGTTCCCCTCTTTACAACGAATTTATAGATTTTCTTGAGTAACTAGCAAATCTTTTTTCGAACTTTACAGATATTTTGAACGGAAAATCATGTGAAACGCATAACTTGAAGCAAAATCGCTGTTCAATGTTATTATGCGTTAGAGTATTCTAGGATTTCCAAATGATTATGATGCCTGAGAATATATATCAATAAAGAAGAAGAAAAACCCTTAGTAGGGGGATATGATCGTAATTCATTTAAGTACACAATTTTCTTTAAGAGTTTGTCTGGCCGCGTTTAACTGCGCGTATCAAGATAACAATGCCAAAGTCTTTTTTTTAAAAAAAGGGCATATTTTCCTTTTTTTCTTAATTATAGACTTAACACTTTAGAGATTTTAATGTCGAATTAAATATTTTCTCAATAAAGTCCCCGTATTAAGTTTGAAGAAACGTTACTCTGCCAATGGGCTCGTTAGAATTACCAACAGAAACTAGTTGTTCCTTTGCCCCCGAAATTTGTGATATCGATATTTTATGGGCTTTAGTTCGCCTTATATTCGACTTTAAATATTTCCTTTAAAAAATTTTCAAAACAAGTTCGACCAAGACACGAATTCTTTTTTTTTTCTAAATTGTGATGATTCAACATTTTGAAAATGTAATTTCGGGCTTGGAGTTCGATGCTGAATCCTTTCTTAGTAAAATCTTTGTATCTAGGAAAATTAGTCGGATCTGTCCAAGGGTTTACGGGAAGCTAGTAAAAAGCTATGAGGTAGCTATATACATACGGTTTCTAATTTTCTCAGTTGCCTATACAATGTTGCCAAACTGCATAAATATACGATTTGTATGGAATGTGTAAGATATATGCGACATAAACTATCGGTACCTTAAAATGTCGTTTTGTGACTTTACGTTTCCATTTAAGTACTTTTGAGGTTAAATTCGTACCACTGAATTGAAAGTTTGCGATAGTATAGGCTTTATCCAAGATTTCAAAGAAATCTACTTACATTTTATTTACAGCGTTTCTTCCGGTCTTGTTCTTTCGAATATTACGATTTAAATTTACTAAAACTCCTTTGTGTTAACTCTTTCTCCTAGGAATTGTTGTCAATCCTTTCGTGAGTGAGTGAATGTAAGACGTTTGTTGCAGTATGAAAAAGATTATGGGTTATACGATTGATATATCAAGGTAGAGTCTTCGTTCTATATTATAACCAGTTATTCCACGAAAGTTAGCGGTGATTGCTAACAATTCCGTGCTAAGTTGAATACAATTTCTTTCTTGTTATTGCCTTGTTCTGTATATTTTCTTGAGGTCTTGTTTCTAAAGTGAATAATTCAAGTAGGGCCTCGTCAAAGTAGTCTCATACTAACTTACTAAAATTGGCAATTCAGGTTAAGTGGAATTCTTTAATTTTGGTTACTTTTTTGACAGGAAACCTATAAATTTGTAAGTTTTTTTATAGCACACGATAGCAATGTACGTTACGGGGACTAAAACAGAGAAAATAGAAGAAAATCAGTAGTAAATGAAGACTACATTAAAATGAGAATAAGAAAAAAAGAAAAAAAAAAGCATGAACCAGTGGAAGCATTTGTTCATTTACACTGTTTATAGGAGATTGCTACTAAGAATAGTTTATATTTCAACAATAACTTTAACCGTTATTTAGAGAAATTTGTTTACAATTTTAGTTAAAGTATGAATTTTATAATTTAAAATTTTTTCTCTTTCTTTATATGCGCGTGTTTTCTCTCTCTCTCACTCTCTCTTGCCTTTTACGTATGTCAACAGCTGCTGTCCTTTTTTGCTAAAGCTCTGTAATAAACTCAATAAACTCATACACACATATGTTGTATATTTATTAATGAATTGTAATGTTTTAAGGGAACCGTTCATGCATACACATAGTTATAAACAGAGATTCACGCCTTTTAGCTATAAGTTGATTATTCAATAAATTTCAATTTACCGAATTTAGTTTAAATTGGAGTTAACTTTATTGCCACCGTGATATACGCACGCACGTACGCATTGACACCATGTGTACTTAATTCCTATTCATGGGATAGCGGTTTGTTTGTTCATTCATTCATTCATTTCATATAATTCAATTCACTGTAATTTGAAGGATTTGCATAATTTTTTGATGCTGTACTAGCCGGCGTTGTTGTCGTTGTTGTTACTGTGTTTTTATTGCTACCGCCCCTCAAAAGCTAATTTGTTTTAGTTGCACGATTTTGCAAAACGCTATAGAGATAGTGTTCGTAACGAATTTTACTTTATCAAAATAATAAAACAATAACAACAACAACAAAAAAAAAAAATAAAAACTCATTTATTCTACGATTTTGATGTTGATTTGGATTTTCATATATACTTTATCTTTCATACAGGACTGGGCATTACGCAGTGAAGAGCAAAGTTTACTTATTGAACGTATTTTAGTATTGATACGTAATGTTCTACAAGTGCCCTCTAATCCGGAAGCTGAATGCCGTACCGATAACGACGCCAGTTTGCATGATCAAGTTATTTGGGCTCTTCATCAATCTGGTATTTTGGATATGATATTATATATAATATCATCAGCCGATGAACATCAATTTCATTTGCATTGCCTGGAAATATTATGTCTACTCTATCGTGAACAGGTAAGACATTCTTATATAATTAATGTTGAATAGTTTTGATCATTTTCCCATAAATTTTTATATCAGTCAATAAAAATGCACACAGCGCCGAATCATCATTCATGAATTTTGCTCTTAATTTTATTTCTTTAATATGGTAATAATGTAGTATTGTTTGCACGAGTAGCTGAGTAGGAGAGAATCGCAACACAGATTATTAGTCAGTATTCGCGAGTTCAAATCTAAATGCGGTAGATTTTACTTTGGTCGCTGTTACAATGAGTGCATAACAGATTGCCACATACCCATTAGGCAGCCACTTCCCTATCTCTTTCTTTTCGGGCACTTCCTGACGTCAGTCACCCTACTACACGAACAAGAGATTCCCTGACTGACTGGTTGTATAATAACAAGGGAGAAAATTATAGTCCGGCAAGGGCGGCCATTGAATAGAAAAATTGAACGAATCCTTGGAAATTTAAAAAAAAAAACCAACTGAAGGTGTAACTGTTGAAACGATGAGGAAAAAGAATGTTCGAAAGGTGAACACAAGGCTTCCTCTCTATACAAACAGCTTAGAAATTATGCACAGTGTTAGCAAAGAAGTTAAGTGTACTCTCTCTCAAGTAAATAAATTTTTTAACAAAGATTTTGCATCTCTATTTTTCAAAATATATGTGGCTTATCTGCTTCTATGGTCAAATATAATGGGAGTAAGCAGGGGGAACACCTTCCACACCTGATAGCCTGGTATAAGGTTTTTTCCAGGGTCGAAAATGTTACTATTGAAGGCCAAAGAAATATTCCGGTAACTGACTATATCAGAAAGCATTGTGAGTACGTACAGTTTAAATTGATGAAAATTTCTTAAAGATATTTAGAGAACATGACGGACGAGAGGACAAAGGTTAAAAAAAAAATTATTAGAAGAAAAATATTTCAAAATTACGATTGGGAAGAATTTCCTATCCTAAAAAGGAATATGACAAAGGAGTATTTTATTGTTGGAACATACAAGAATGTGTTTTCTAAAATATACAGTGATTCTACCAAGTCTTGGCCTTTTTTAAACCTGATACAATTTCAAAGCTTAGACGATAGAAAAGACATATGCAACAGCATAGTCGAAATATATATCCATATTTTAATCTGCGAATCTAAAAGACAAAACGTCATTTATTTCAGTTGTGTAGAGGGTGATCAATTGTTTTATAAGAATAGTCCGAAGTGTAAAAGCAAGCTCAAAAATGCTCTCACTGAATGTAATCTAATTGTAATACACATTCAAATCATTTTACTTTGGCTTTCAAAAATGTACTAGAAAGACTAACAGACTACAAAAGTTGATGGACTTTATTGATATATTAGAAAATATATGTCTACATTGTGGAGGCGTACGTAACGACGGCAATGTTAAATGTGAAGATTACGGAGGATCCATAAACAACAGCTACCGTAGTTATCAGTATAATAATTTCTATGAAATACGGTGCCTTTTATGCCAAAGCCATGGGAACACATGAAAGTAAGTTCGTTTGTTCGATCTGATTTGTTCCGCAAATGTAACCATTCACACTACGATGTTTGTCGAGCGGACGGCTATTTGCAATCGCATGTCGTATGTGAATGTAAACATGCAAAGGATTTTGAAAAATTCGGCGCAAGCCGAATATAGCTTTGTCTTCCTTTTGTTTTCCCTTTTTTGTAGAGATGAGTTCAATTTTCAATATTTACAAAACCTTACTTAATTTCTTAAAACTTTGAAAAAATGATGTTTTGAAAGTATCTTAGTTTAAAAAAAAGTATAATATTTATGTATACGGTTGAGAAACTGAGAATGATGATGAATAATTAAAAAAATGTATTGCATAAAAATATATAAGAAAATCAAGCAAATAATGTAAATAATGACTATTTAAATCAGATGAGGGAAATTTGTGTAAATAGTGTAAATAAATTTTGTATAAATATGATAAATAAACATGATGTAGAAAAACTCATGTAAGCAATGGAAATATTATTCAAATTTCTAAAACGATTATTATTATATGCCTAAACTATAGCTTTTGTTATGAATATTTATGAAATATAATATTTGTTTCGTGTATACATTTTAGGTACTGCTTTGATTCATGTTTTCACAAAGTAAACTATATATATATATATATGTATATATATGTACATACACACGAAATAACTGCCAAAAAATTTGTTGTTTCTTGTTAAAGGAGTAATGCTTGCACATGGTTAATAAGAATAAACGAATTCAAATCTGTTAAAAAAGAAACTAAATTCATTCCTAAGTAACATTAAAGAAATTAACTTACTTAAAAATGTATGCATTTGGTATGTTTCTAAAGAAGTGATCCTTAAAAATACTAGAGGATGCCTATAAAATTTTGAGTTAGTCTCTCTGTATATGCCATATTTAAAAAAATTTTTATATTCATAATTTGCTAAGAGGTTATAAAATTTGGAAATCTAAATTTTTTAAGCATACATGAATTTATTTATCTATTGTAAAGCTTCATGGGGTAAGTTTGGAATCTTCAGCATCAAATAAATGACGTGACCATCCCGTTGTCTTGCAAATGTTTGATATTATTGAGCCTAAAACAATTATACTATAAATACAGTGAACAAATAAGTAGATATAGAATAAAGAGCTTTTGTTTTTTAGTAACAAAAAAAAGAAAAAATTAAAAATCTTTTTCTTAATAATTCCAAATTTTTTGTTATATATGTATTTATATATATTTGACATTTTCTTATGTCGAGTGTGGCATCTTTTGCACGTGTTGTGTTCCCTGAACTGTATGAATGCAATGTATGTATTCTCCCTCTCCCTCTCCCTCCCTCTCTCGCTCTCGTTCTTTTTACTTACATACTTAATAGATGTTGACGTATATACATATATATGTATATATACATACCACGAAAAAAACACCAAAGCATTTTGATCTTTGCCAGAGGAATAGAACGTGTCATCATTTACAGACATAAACGATTTTGAATCCGTTAAATAAGAAGTTAAACTTGTTTTCGTCTGTTGACGTTAATATGATACATGTTATTATGTTAAGTATATAATTTTCACAAATTTATTAAAAATAGTCCCTAAAAGAAAAGTTGTCATTTTTTACCCATTTTCATATCGATTCACGTGAATTTAGGTGACCTTTTCCAGTTTGGCCGCGCTAGAGTCCGAACTTTGGTTGTTATCCCGTACTCGCTTTTCGCTAACATACCACATTTAAAAAATTGGTAAAATTAGCACCCGAAAAAAAGTTTGCATATTTTTTGGCCATTTTTTCATATAGCCTCATGAGGTGTCCACAAAAATATTTTACGTGTTTTAATTTGGGCGGAGCATGGATTCAAATTCAACGGTATCTTAATTTTAAATATTTAACAAACTTTTACAGACCACAGTTAAGGGATATGGTTGATGTGTTTGCTGGTTAAATTCGAATTTATGTTCACACTCTTTCTTAGGTCTTTCAGGAATATAAAAGTTTACATTTTCTGAGGATCCTTATATGGGGTGGTATTCAAGAAACAGAGCTGCGTAGTCCAAATTCAGTAAGGCTGACTTCTTCGTCAATTTACTATTATGAACCAATTTTCAATATGAAATATTGGAAATTATACGTTTTTACCGTATAAAGGTTTAGTTTTCGTAGGGACCGTTGCATGAAAGAGGGTTCAAAATATTGCTACAGCCGAACCGAAATTTCTCATACCAATTTAAACTATCGAAGCACTATTACTCAGTGAGTTTTGACGAAAATTTTTGAAAATTTGTTTTCCAAATATACATGGGGAAGTCGAAAAAGTGGATCAATCCGATCTTATGTACTATTTTTCACCAAAATATCTCAAAAATTGTGGCCTGTAGGTTGAGCACAAAAATACAGGAGCAGTAATGGACGGACAGACAAGGTCAGAATCATCTTCGAAGAATCCGCATAATAAGGGTGGGTCTATTTTAAAACGCTCTGGGGTACATCTGCACAAACTTCATATATCCATGGGTGGTGCAGGATATGTAAGGTTTTCAAAAGGTGTTATTTTAAAGACTTATTTTTTAAAACGGTGTTGACTGATCTTTTTTTTGTTTCTGAAGATGATATTATGCATGTGGATAGTGCTTTGTTTCCGCAAGTCGGTACCACCTGCCATACAGTTTCATTACGCATAAACTATAGTACATAAAAGTACGAAAATTTGAAAGCATATTCTATTAGCAATACTGTAGTACCGGTGCAGCGATTGGAAAAATTTACCACTCGTGCCCTTTATTATAGTGTATCAAAATGTAATTTTTTTTCCATACTTTTATAACGCGCAGAATGTACTTAAGCATGTTCGTGTGTAAGTCAGTCCATCCATCCGTCTGCCAAACTGTGTAGTATCTGTGATAAACCTTTTCTCGTTAGCGAAAATGAAGATATAGCCTACAGATTTTCAAAAGGACTTGAAAGTGACGTACACTTTCCAAAGGACACGCCTGCAACGCCGATATGCCTGTACGACAAAAGCTTTTATTTTGAAAATAGAAAAAATCAGCCGCTCTCCCTCAATGTTATAGAACGTGAAAAATTAATTTTTTTTTCCTTCTAGTCTTCTTCTAGGATAATGTTGATGGGTATAAAAGATTCGGTCCTGATCGAATATCATTTCTTTGGTTGTTTAAATTGACGGTTGTTTTGGTACAACTTTATTACTATTTTTTTTTTAGAGCCACGTTAACGAGAAAGTCTACATCAACGTTCTGGCAATGAAGCAAACGCAAGTAGAGTTGCCATTAGCGAAAGTAGGCATAAAAGTTGTTGACATATACCGAAAAAATCTTTTCTCTTGCGGAAAACTTTAGGCCATTCTATGCCATAGATTACAATTTTGTGAACTTGATCTACTGAAAAGTTTAATGTTCTTTTCTCTAGTAGAAATCATATTCTGGAATATGAGTCATTGAGTTGTTAATTACGCCTATGATGCCCACACGGTGAGAGAAACTTTAGGATGCTTCACAAGCGATGGTTCTGATCCCGAGTTCGTTTCGGCAAAAATAGCTTTCTAGATGTAACTTGGAAATTATAGTAAAGATGTTCGTAAACGAATCGCGCCTCGCATAGTTTGCAACAGTTTTTACATCATCTAATGTGGTGTCCAACGTGGTCCGTTTCGTATAATATTGCACGCAATAGAGAAATTTGAATATTCAATTTAACAAAATAATCGCAACTGAACGAGGTCTACATAATTTTGAACATATTTTAGCCGCTTAATATTCAAAATTCGGGCGAAGATAAATCGTTTCGTTATACTTTTTATTTCTATCATAGCTCATTGTACAACATTAGCTAACTACAATATTATCAGGTTTTCTTATATACAATTTTAAGCTTAAGATTTACTTGTTGGCGCGAATTTTGTAATTGACATCAATTTACTTTTAATAGACAGCGGAAAATTTAGCGGAAGCGTCAATGCAACGTAGTCTCAGTGAAAAGCAACGTGATGAGCAAGAATTGATGGCAGCACGACGTCGTGAGAAGCAACGTTTGACTGCAAAACTTCCACCGGTACGTCATTCGCGTTTCGGTGGCACGTATGTTATACGTAATCTGAAATCTGTCTCGGATCGTGATATTATATGCCATCAACCCTTAGAACGTGTGGTGTCGATTGATTTTGATCGAGAAAAACAGCAACAGAAACGTTCACATCGACACGTACACGAAGAAGCCCAGGTGACACGACGCAGTGCCTTCTCCGTGCGGTAAGTACAATATTGTGGTTTCTAATGAAAATTGTGTGGCATGAGATGTGTAAAGCTATGAAGGATATATCTGGTAAATGTTACTGCAGTTTATATGCTATTAAAATTCCTACTCACTGCAGCTATTGTAAGACATTAGTAGTCACGTTTTGAATTTTGGCTTTCATGTCTGGCTTGGCAATGTGTTTGTGTGCACTGGATGCATGTTAGCCTTTCTCATATAAGTTTGCAATAAATTGTGTAAGGGAAGGTCACACACCTCAAAGTAATAAATACAGATATTAAGTAGACAGATATTGATTTATAAGTGCTAGAAAGGCGTACGCTAATCGATATTGATAATAGGTAAATCAATAAATGACATCTCTCGAAGTTTGCTTTCTAAACAGCTGAATGTATTTCTTTTAAAACGTGTTTAATGTAATAATTCTTTGCGTTTGTGAATTTTACTATAAGCTTAGGTTACTTCCCAAGGTCTAGCGACCAAATCCTTCATCATAGGCATTGTCGTCACTTGCATTAAATTTGTAATCGATGCTGTTGGTATGAAATTGATGCTCGTGCTAAGCATACTGTGCTTACTCTTCATACATATCGATTAAACTTTCGTCTATTATGTTATGCTGCTTCTACAGTATTTGTCATCACCACCATCATCGTCATCATCACCATCATGTACACACCGGCTTGCATATTTAAAGCACAGCACACTATTCGAAACCAATGAACAATTACAACAGGTAGGGAAAATGACTTGCGGTTTATAGACACCTGTCGTCAAAAATATTGACAAACGTGTCTTGGTTTCTTGATTTCAACTCAAAATTTTAATAGCAACAGGAGTAGAATAGAAATTTCTCAGATTAGTAAACGAAAAAAAAAAAAAAATTGGAAAATGTACTGAATGCAAAAGAAAACCATGGAAGACCTCAGTGTTCATAGTTTTGTAGCTACGAATTACACCGGACTATTACGCAGTCGTATGATGCATGCTTTAAGGATGAGTGAAATCTCTTTGCATACGGACGTGCAAGTCGCATGCTGGGGGTTATAGCTCGTAATGAACTAGTGAAGTTAGATAAAAACGAAGTAACAATATCTCGGGAAAAAAACAATTTGAAGAATTAACTAAATTTTCTGTTCTCTGCTTACTTACGTTCATTTCTCCTAAAGAGTAAATGAAAATAGCAATCGAATCCAAAATAACTCCGTTTATTTAATGATTTATGTGCGATAATAATTAAAACTTTTTACACTTTGCCGGCGTAAGTTCTTTTAAATGCGGAAAGAAGCCCCTGTAAATTTTTCAGAAATTTGAAATTCAGTACTTAAAAAAATTTTCTCTTCAAGCTTTGAGGACTTTTCCACAAGATACGAAAAAACGGCCATTGTTAAGTGAGTTCCTGCCGGAAAACTGCAGTCCAACGCCCTGCTTGTTAATTTGTAAGATCTCTCATCTGTTGACAAATGTTCTTGGAAAGTTCATATTCATTTAAAAGTAGGGCGACTCAACTAATATAAGGCTCGAGATGAAAACTGTGAATGCTTCTCATAATAACATGCTAAAGCTTAACCGAGTAAATGAGAAGCGCGTCTTTTAACCCGATGTTCGCGGGTTCAAATCTCAGTGCAATTTGCTCATACTCGATCGAAGCTACACTGTGTGCTTAGTCGGTAGAGGCATAATACTTAGCAACTGAGCACATAGCCACTAGGCCGCGGTCTCTCCCTATCCTTTTTTCTTTTCTCTTTCCTTGCTTCTTTCTGACCGTCACCGTGTTACCCATAAAATCCATCGTTCATATTAAGAAAAGCAATTGAAAATATTGTAGTGGGACTAGGTTAGACTATGAAATACCCTACAACCCATTGTTTAACACAAATTTTATTGTTTCCATGGAACACAAAGATTATACCCCGTTTTTATATGCGCTTACTCTTATGGAATTGCGGTATGAAAATTAGATTTACAAATAGAGGCTTACTTTCCTTAAGTATGGCTCTGCCAAAGTGTTTTAACACTTGTGATACGTATTCAAAATATATCCAAATCCAATAGTGTCAAACTACTATTGTGTAGCAAAATATTACAACATAGGCTTTTCTGTCTTAAAAAATAAAAATTTTCGTAAAAATGTTTATAGGTTCAAAAACTTGATCTAGATGGTCCAAATTTGGTACAATTAATTTTGTTATCTTAAGTTACTATTGTGATCTGATTTTTATCATGAAGCATTGACAATTTAGACTTTTTTGTCATATGATCTTTAGTCTTCGTTGTATGAGAAAGGGTTCAAAAATTTCCCTGCCAATTGAGAATGCCGAAAATTTATTACTTATAGCCACGTTTGTCGAGAAATTTTAAAAATATCAATTTTTTTCTTATAGCGACTTCTTAAAATAAGACGTTACGTAGAGAGTGGTCCAAACCATTTTCAATAGCTTTTATCTTTGGATCAAACCTCATCGATGTACCGAATTCCATTAAAATATGTCAAAAATTACGATCTGCAGCTTAAACACAAATTTACGTGGACAGACTTCAAACGGACAGCCGGCCAAAAAGCTTAGCACAGTAAAAGATGAGCTTATCTTCACATGCCCACATAGACTTAATATACTCTTTACCGCTAGTCGTTTTGGGTAACAAGTACGTGGAGCTTTTTTCGATAATCTAGTTTATTAACAAAACTTTTTCATTAAATTGTTCGCTAATCAGAGACAATTTAATATTTTAAAGATTTTGAGCGTATTTCGCCGGCCACAAATGTGCATATCAAGTGACTTCGTTTTTTGTTCAAATTTTGACCTAACACCACTGCTTGTCGCATAGCTCTTTCGTTTAAAGGCGCCCTGCGAGCGTGTCTTTAGTACAGCTGCGTTGATTATGTTTCTAAAAAACATTTTTTTTTCTTAATACGCTACTGACAATATACGCTCAGTCCCTCCGTATGTTGTCCTTTGTAGTTTCTTCCATCTCAAAGAGAATTGTCAATAAAACGCTTTTCTTTAGTCTGTTACAATGACTTATGCCCTTAAAATACTCTTCAAAGTTTTACATCCATCATCGAAGAACATTGCACAGACATTTTGTTTTTGTCAAATTTATTTTAAAGCTACTCAAGATAGGATATAGGCAAAATGCGCATTTAGGAGAGTTGATTTGATAGTTTATAATGAACCCAATATTGACATGAAACTATAGATATCATTCAGATATTTCTAAAGGACTCTAAAGGTATTCAATAGCTAAGGTGAAAAGTAAAGGTTCTAGAGAAATAATTCGGGACGCAGTGAAGTTTATCTCTTCAAGTAATGACGGCGAATCGATAGTGCTATTTAGTAACTTCATTAAGAAGAAAACTCTAAGATTAAATGTACTTTTTTCAAATGACGGTAAGGCTAACAAAAGCAGTTTATTTTCTTAACGAAACAAGGAGATAGACAGATGCCAGCACAAACTCCTACGATCAAATAACGCGAATGTCTAAATGGGTTCCTTGAGGGGAACCTGAATTGGGAATTGATCAGAGGTGATGGAATTATTCAGAACCTTAAACGATCTATTATGGAGAGAAGAGCTTATCCATTTCAACAAATATAGAGGTCATCCGGAAGCCTGCAGATTAAAGTTCAATAATTTATGGCTAACTATGTCAAACGCTTTACTAAAATCAATAAAGGCCTTCAAAACATTGCAAATAAGGGATTCGCGAGGGTTCATCTTCCTTATCGAAATCCTTCCATGCTGAAATGGACGAATATAGGACACTCAATTTGGCGATGCCTCTATAGTTCTCGACTAGAGTTCTGCTTTAACCTTTGTGAATTGGAATAAAGAAGCTGCTCTTCCAATACAAAGGCAAAATACCCGCTTTCAATGGTAGGTTAAAAATCGTTGAGATAATATGTAACAAAAACATAATTCCTCAGAGCATAACTTGAGTACACATGATGGAATGCCATCAGGCCCAGGCGCAGAACTACATTTAAATAACCTTAAACCTTGTAACACGTCTCTATCTGAAATCAGTAAATAGGGAATCGAGATCACGTCTGTGATTTGATATGGGTAATTACTATTTAAACTGGAAACTAGTATAGAGAAACTTCGTCCGAAGTATTCAGCAAGAGATTCGAGGTTTCAATATCACCAGAGGATTCAAAACTATTAAAAGAGATGCAGAAGAAATATTCTTCTTTTAGAGTTGACAGATTTATAAAAGTATTTAGAAATACTGCTACGCGCTAAGAAGTGAGCGAGGATTATACCCTACCAAGGTAATTGCGATAACTTTGATGGTTGAGGTACGCTGATCCATTTTTCATGAATTTTTTCAAAAGTTCGTTTCCCTTATTTTTATCATATCTAATTACTTTATTAAACTACGGCGGGCAAGTAGTTCGAAGCGGCGGTTGTCTGATCAAAACGGATGCAGAAATAGCTAGCTTTAATGTATTATAGAACGAGGACATTAGTGTTTGCATATCCCCAGCCGGAAAAAATAACGCATTGTTTGAGAGATGAGATGTAAGCAGTGCAATATTGATTTTATTAATATCATACTTGTATACTTGCATGCTCGTAAATAAACATGAAAGGATGATTAGAAATAAATTTTGAATAAAACAAGGACGTAAGCCTTGGGCCAAAAAAAAAATTAAAATCGCATATAAGTAACTGTACAAAGATCAAAAAGTAAGAATAAATTTCAAAAAAATTCATAATATATGTACATATATGTTGTATAAACTCAAAGAAAGAAAAGCAAATAAACAAATTTTGCTTAAATTCTGGTACGCTTGATAATGTGACCCTCATCAGAAGTAAGAAAACGGCGACGACGTTTATCGGAACCGACCGTATCTCTAATAGGTCTGGGCGTAAAATATTTTGTATTGCGTGGTGTACTTATCGTTGTGATGACCGACGCGATTCGCAAAGATTCAATAGCGGACGGTTGTTCCGTGGTACTACTCTCTTCGCTGTGATTCTCATCCTTATTCATCTCTACTGTCAGCTTTGCATTAAATTTTTTCTTTTGATGTTCCTTCTCTTCATCCTTTTTATCCAAAAGAGTCTGCTGATGTTTTAATTGGCGCTTTAAATCATCAATTTGACGTTCACGACGTTTTACCTTATTGTTAAGATAGTCTATGGAACTTTCGTGTAAACGTATCTTGCTCTCCAAAGCACCCAAACGATGCAGCTCTTTTTGATAGGAAGTGTGCAGTGACTTCAATTCACAGTTTAACGATGAATTTTCGCTTAAAATTTCCATTAAATATAGTTGTAGACGATCGAACTTCGACTCCAAATCAATGCGCAGTGCTTTCTTCCTTTCTATACGTCGTTGTAAATATTGCGTTAGTTCTTGTGTAGATGATTCAGCTTGAGCTTGGGTACCGATCTTGTACTCCGGAAAACTAGGGCCAAGTAGACAGTCTAAGCGTACATCGGCATCGAAATTTTTCTCGTCAGCATTATGTAATTTATTCAAATTGCTGACGGCAATTTTGCTTATTTTATTGGCCTTGCCACCACGCGGAGTCAAGCCAAGGATGTTTTTAATTGGTGTTGCTCTTACTATTTGTACCTCCTGTGCCATTTCAGCAAATCTCATAACTTGAGCATTCTCATCGTAATCCTCTGCCCTGGGATTTATGCACACAATCATCGAGACTTGACCTTCTCCATCGAAATAATTTTTAAAAAGATGAGTTATCTTTGAGTCCCGATATGGTATCACTTTTGGAGCTGCATTTGTCTGCTGTTGATTCTCACGCAGATATGCCAAACAAGTACGCAACGTCATTAACGATTTGTTTATGTTGCCCGCCTCTCTTAAACGCAAACCAGTATTTTTTGTGCGTGAAGAACGTTCGCTGCCTGCTAAATCTACGAGAGACAATTGGCTAATTGTAATAGTCCTTGTATCCGGCGAAACGAGCTCCTCTTGCGAATTGGCAGGAGCCTGCGCTAGGCGTATGGTAAATACTGAGTGACTACGACTAGATTCCGCATTTAGAATCGTATGACCCATACGTTTACGTTTTTGTCCAGTTTGAAAAACCTCAATTGCTTCTTCAGCAGATTTAATTTCAATTTCTCTTACGCCATGTACGAACATATTGTGATTGGCATCCTCTCTTATAATTCTACTTTGCAAGCTTTTTTGGATGTTTTCTTCCTCTAGCAAATCATAAACACTGTTATTGTACACTTCTATATATGTGATAAATACCGCATAGACGTTGTCCTTGTTTTTTCCTTGCAAGAGCGTCAAACCGCAAGTGTCCTGAGGATCTGCATCTTCTCTCTCTAAGCCTTGTTTAAAGTATTCATTATTTTCTATATGTCGCTCTAAACGGGCGTCAGTTTCAAACTGAATTTCGAAATTATTTAAATGATCCGACTTGAATATAAACTTTTTGGCTTGATAACCTGAGATAGTGCGAAACAAAGTATCCAAACAACGTGGCATAATGCCTCGATGGTTCGCGTCTCCTGTCATTGTATAAGTTTTACCACTGCCCGTTACTCCGTAGGTGAAAAGTAAACCGTTATGACCTCTTATTAAATTTTCCACCATTGGTTGGGCTACGGTGGAGAAAATATCCTGTTGCGATGCTTGCGATTCAAATACATGCCTAAACACATATTGGGTTTCTTTTTGGGCTGCTTGTTTATTATCCAAGACTTGGAAAGGTGTTTCTAAAATAATTTTGGCAGAGTTTAACACACGAACACAGCATAGATCGCCATCGGAAGGCAGTGACTTAATACGACAAAATACGTGTAACGGTTCCTTCGTTTGGATGAGAACGTTACTTACTTTCTCCGTTTGCTTCGAAGAAGGCAATGGCCGTGTTCGTAATTCCCTTTGCTGCAACATCTTTGTTACCTTCATGGGAGTGCTGGTCGTCGATTTCATCACAAATTGATGGTATTATTAACGTTCTTGTTGTGTGTTTTGTATACTGGAACTCAAATTGTTGATAGTATTTGTAGAAAAATATAATTATTTCTTTTTCTACAAATTTGCTTATGCTGTGATATATTATGTATTTATTAATAAAAGGCCAATAAATGAATGAAAATAAAATTTTCAATAGAATGACAATTCCCGACATACAAATTGAAAACGTTATAGATTAAAACCGAACAAAAACATACAGTTTATGGATAATGGATAAATAGTACTGAATGTAAAGTTTTTAGGAACTCATGATTCATTTATATAAAATCTGGCCCCATCCATCAATGATGTCAATCCGATGAAAGAAGAAGATTATTTAAAATTGTATTCCAAATAATATTTATTGATTATTCATCTGCGCGGGAACTAACAAAGTTTATAAAAATTCTTCTCAAGACAAAAATGTAATGCGTAAAATTTTCATCTTTAATTCGCTCTTCCTTACTTTACGAGTATGAAAAAATGACTTCCTTTTTGTAAAGAAATGTGCAAAAAAATAACGATAAGATTGTAGAAAAAAATCACGGATGTATTTAACGAAAGCTGAATTAAAAGTAATGAAAAGAAAAGAGCAAAGAAAGCCCTTCACTCACTTACTTCTATTTCATAGCATTTTCTTTTATCTCTTCTATCTAAGATTGGAAGTGAGAAGATTGGAGAGTATACCTCTTGTAGAATTGAAGTTCCTCAAGGCTACTTTTTTCTAGAATTCCTTGAATGTAATAGCGGAGTACGAATTTCCAGAAATATACGGTATATACGGCAGATTTAGACCGTACTTGAGCCAAGTTACGGTGAATTAAATCCGTGACAATGTGCAAGAGTTTTAAACAAATCAATTCATGACAAGCAGCCGATATTGCGTTATATTCAGTTGTTCTTGTACAGTATGATGTATTCTTTCGTCTCAGAAATTAGCATTAAGTACATATATCCTGTTTTAGATGCATCAGCCCAGTCCTCGTCAGTTTTTTTTTTTTTAATGGAATGTAAGGAGCTTTCTTCATTCGTTGCATTTTTGCTTCACGTTCAGGATTTATAGCAAATGTTATTGTGTCTAACATATATCTTAGTTGATCCATCCATTATTTCTGGCTATCTCTATCAATTATAATTTTCATTCCCAGAATGACATCCACAGTTTGTATATCTTTTATTTTGAATTTTACTTTTTTTGAAAATTTTTTAAAGAGTTATTTTTCTCACTGTTGATTGTGAATATCAAAACGTGTTGTGCTAAAGAATTGCTCAAATTTTGCTTACAGCTTCTTCTGACCTGTTTTGTTGACATTTGTTTGACCTTAGCTGCCACGATAACCGATATGTTAAGGCAATCGCCCGTGAATTCGCGCTACAGGTTCCATCTGATTTAGCGAGAATATTTCTTCATAGTCGACTCATATCGGTTGAGAGAGTATGATTTCATTGCTCAACTGCTCGACTCGAGTTTGTTTTGTTCGCTACTAGTTTCTTCGCCTCAAACAATTCTTATGTTTTGTCAGTACTACAGTGTTCTTCTTCTACTGTCGTTTTCCACTAATTTCCATACGAAATGTTGAGAACTTAATAGATTCTAGTTGCTTTCATCGGATTATTCGTACAAGCAAGACCATCGATTGGTTTTTCAACTCATAATGATCTTCTTAAAGACCGCTCAGTGTCAGATTACCATTGTATTGCTCGAACTGCTAACCTCATCTTTTAAAAATCCGATTTTCATTGTCTCCTTTATCCCCAGCATAACAATACTGAAGTAATTTCCTACGATAAATTTTTTTTTTCATAATAGAATCTATTCTATCTCAAAAAACCAAGAAATAAAGAGTTTTGGATAAATTAAATGATTTTTGCTTTGGATTCAAGAAACCGATGCGTTTTTCGGACGTTCGTATTATTCAATAATGCTCAATTCTTTTTGATTGTACTTGAATTTTTTACGTTTTTGTTTTGATATCTGAAGCTCTGGCTTACGATGGAAAACTTTGAGATGTTTTATAGAGAACCGGATGTAGCGTTCTGGAAAACGCTTTTTGGTAAGCGAATGATTTATCAAATAGATAACTGCATTAATTGTTTTTGTCTAACAAGGTTTAAGAGTAGAGAACCCCCCACTGAAAGCGGGACAGAAGAAAGCTAAATCTAAAGAAGTGGACGAACAAGCAATCGAACAGATTGAAATTTGCATTGAGTAAAGGCCACATTAGCGAATAAATAGGACGGGTTAACAAGTTGACAGACAGACAAATTAAGAATATATGCAATTATAGAAGAGCTTAATAATTCATAGGTGTTAGCTCCTTCGCATGTTCGCTTAAATTATCGCAGATTCGAAAATAGAAAGGTAGTAGAAGATGGGAAAGCGAATAGAATATTTCAATTTCAGACATTGTCAAAAATAAGGAAATTGGAAAAACAAAGAAAATCAAAGCAAAGAATATAAAAAGAAAATATTTGCTGCAAATGTTATCTTTATTGTTAACTAACTTTCACACATATATCAATGCAAACTCAAAGTTCAACTCACCTTGTTGTTGTTATTGGGATTGTGTCGTTTCTTTACCTAAAAAAAAAAAAAGAAAAAAAAATAATAACAACTTTTTTTTTTTAAAGTCATTGTTTGGTGAAGGAAAATATACCCTGCGGAGATTTCAAATTTTCCATTAAGTAAGCAGCGTATGTGTATGAGTGGCAATGCACGTAATATATATAAAATTGCATCACATATAACTGTAATGCTGGCTGCAAAGGAAGGATTTTGTTAAAATATTTCTTACATTGTCTTTAAAGGTAGATACAGTGAAGTTTTTGTTGCTGCGTTTTTTTTTTTATTTCTTTTTTGGCTACAGACTCAGGTCAACTAAAGGTAAAGATTACTGATAGCAAATCCTCGTTTTTCTTTTAACCGTAGCCTCCACAAATGATTATTATGACCGTTATTTTGTTGTTAGGATATTTTTAGATCGACGATGATGACTGCCTTGTACACATATACAGTAAGTAAACAACAATACAAAACTTTTCTGCTCTATGTACATATATATTCGTATATGTGTAGGTATGCGTACAGTTCATATTTTACTTTCATATTTGATATATGACCTCCACCCACTATCCGATGTGGTATATATGCGCTTCTGGGAGTATATTTATAGATTTATATAGAATAATCTCTTTTATTGGTAAACATGCAGACAACAGGGACAACAAATACGTTTAGTGGTTACGGTAAACAGCGTTAAAAAAACAATGAAATTGTTATTCATTTCTTTTTTTTATTCTTTTTTTATTACAGTTCATCGTTGATAACCGGATGAATGCGTTGCTGGTCCATGTTCTCAGCAAAACAACAAAAGCAATGAAATTTTTAAGCTTTTTATGTTTATGTTGATTTTGCGGGTGTCGGTGCATCTATGGTTCAATTGGGTTCAGATGAAATGTGCATATACCTTTGAACAAATGCTAGTCTCGAGTTTTTGCAATTTACGATTATTTACATTCGAGAAATTTCTAGTAAATAAATTCTTGGAATTTTCAATATTATTCGCGTATGCCTTAATTCCGCTCGTCTTGCTCAACACTCGCTATAATCGTACATGTATTTTATGTACATTATTCGCGCATGTGTTAATTCCGTTCGTCTTGCTTAATATTCGTTATAATCGCAAATGTATTTTGATCATTTCCAAAAGTCCTTCACTGATTTGCACAAAGCTAGTTAATCAACTATGTTTTAGTGCAACGTTAAAGGAAGGCGTAAAAAAACGAATCTTAATCCGATATAACCTCAAAGCACAAGTAAGCGAAAGACGTTTCATTTTAAAGCGGAAAAGATTCTTGGCGAAATTAAAGATTTTCGACCGCCTTTCGATCATATGTCGCGCATACTTCAAATAATAATTTAGAAGATTACGGTTTTTCAATACGTATAATAAAAATTTCGTTTTGCCAATTTTTGAATATATGACGAAGGTGGTATAAAAGAAAATAGGTTAAAAATGAAAAGCTCTTTAACTATGGACCTTACAGAAGAAAAAAGGAGAAATTAGTAATTTATTAGTAACTGTAGACGGGCTTATGAACACATCTTGTTGAGAAGAAATAAATGAAATTGAATTCCTCTTTCTAGGCAAAATTTTGAGGTCATATGTGTAAGTTAAACGAATGCGCGTGGGGCCATATAATCGCGTTGATCATGTATACAAATATGTAGCTTTACTTCTTAGCCGAGATATAATTCAGAGCTTTCCAGAAGGTTTGTTCCCAAGAATACCTATATCGTAAAAATATTTCAACCTTTGTTTTTGTTTGAATCTTATTATACTTTATAGCGCTTGTGGTACAACGGTATATTAAGTATGCGTGGACATACGCAACATACAGAACTTGAGATAAACACACATTTTATTATATTAATCTTGTCGGTCTGCCTGTCTTGTATTTTCGTGTTCAACCTATAATTCGCAATTGTTAAGCTGTTTTAATGAAATTTGGTCCATTCTCGACCATTTCTCATGTAACGCCTTTTGTTTTGAAAAGTCGGTATATGATTAAGTGTAGAATAATGTAGGGCATTTAATGGCGGGCCATAAACGTTTCGACGTTTCTATGTACCACTGGAGCTGTTTACTTTATCAGTCCCTAGGTCTTTGCTCAGTCAATATTATCCAGTCAGTTATTCAGCGCTAGCGGTTAAGCTAAGCCAGACATGTCTGTATAGTCGGATAGTCGGGGTCAGTCGCTAAGCCAACGCAGCGCATTTTCTAACCGTAACGTTCTTGATCAGTTATTAAAGGATGTTTGTTTAGGACTTACCCACCACAGCCTTTCGTGTAAAATCTGCCGCGATCATATTTTTCGCCTATTGCCTCTGTATAATTTGTTACTGGTTTGTGTGACAATCATGCGATCATTACCCGTGGTCTCCTATGTTCAGTTAAAGCGACTGTGAGTTACTTAAGGTTATGGTAGTTACTTCGTTAGACAAGAAATCCATGCCCAAAGTGATAAGAAATCCCTCTCTAAAGATAAGAAATCCATTTATATCTATATATATATGTATATATATATATATATATATATATATGTGTGTGGATATAGTTTGATGTCTGCAGTGCATTGTGCAGTACAAATTTTCTGCTAACCGTGCGAAAATTCATCTAAATGTGACGCAAATTGCAAATGTTAAAGAGGATGTGTTTCTTATCTGTAATCTACCAATTGACTACTTGGTATGTCAATGTAGTTTTTCTAATTTTCTAATTTTTTTTGATTTTATTTCTTGTTGAGGTGACCCTTAGAGGTGTTCAACCTTGTCTTATTAGTAACAATATAAAAATTTTTTGCAAATTTTACTTGAAACATTATTTTAAAGAATATTTTAAAGTTAATTTAACCTAATAAGCATTTTTCCTTTTCAGGTTATGTTTGCGCGAATATTGCATTGAAATATTAAGTTCTGCTTATAACACATTGGTGCGTCAAGTTAGACGTGTCTTGGAACGTAACGTCGGCACCAATAATCACGATGACTCGTTTTTGTTATGGGCCGTACGTTTCTTTTTGGAATTTAATCGGTTAAGTGATATGAAATTAGAGCTCGTCAGGTAAGTTTAGAAATAACCGTTTGTTATAGCATAAGAAGAGTAGTAAAAAACTTGTCTACTTTTTTTTTTGGCAATTTATTGTTCATTTCAATTTCAACAAATTTTAAATTAAGTTGAAAACATTTTTTATTCAGTCATTTTATTACTTTCCTCCTACATTGTTATGCATTTTTCTGTTTTGACTTAACGTTGTTTGCTTTGATTCGTTTTTTCATTTTATATTTGTTCTTTTTCGCATTTTTATTCTGTTTTCAACTTAACAAAGTCGGGCTATTGTTGAAAAACTTATAAAACTAATGTTGTGCTTTCTTACGTCCGATACAATCATTGCTGTCCTGCTCGTCTCAGTTCCTTGCTATTCTGCTGTGTATTTAAAAGTTAGTTGTTTTCTTCTTCATCTTTTTCTCCTTCTTCTTCTTCTGCCTCTTTGCTTGAGCCTTTCAGCACCAAAAAAAAATCTAGAAAATTCTATAGGATTGTTTTGGGTACTTTGGAAATTAGTTTCTTTGCATAGAATAGAACGATAACAAAAAAAAAAAAAACCCACACAAAAATAATTTCAGACAATTGAGGCCTTAGAATATGTTGTCATTTCTCAAATATTCCCATTTCCACAACTTGTGCACACAATTGTCTAACACTATGCGGACAATTTATTGTCCTTTGCGCTCCCTCGCTTTTCATCATTCTCTTCGCTTAAACTTATGCACTATAAGATGGTAGCATGCCAGATTTATCCTTCCGCTTGCGACGTCTATGGAGAAGCTGTAGAAACTCCATGGAATATTTTTTTGCTTTTACTTAATGGTTGATTGACTATTCAGTGAACGTAGTGTGTGCAAGCTTGAGAACGTTCGGGAAGTATTAAATATATAGTGTCTATAACAGGTAAAATTGAAAATTAATTTAGTCATGTGCCTCTGTCTGTAAATATAATGTTGCCAGCCCGCTTTACTTTTGTTGTCATAAGATGTCTCATCTGAAGGCTGAGTAAACTCTTCTTAGAGAGGCATTATGAGGATTTTTGCGTTTAGGATATTCCTGGGACTTGACATTATTTTATAACAAAACTAATATTAGGGTTGATTTATTGTGACTCCTCCGTCGGAATATTAAAATTGAAAATAGGTCATCTTCTTGCACTTTGCTGTCAGTCTAAAAGTATATCTTTTCGAAGGAAGAGGAAAATAAAGATAAGGGCATGAAATTTGATACAGATTTCAGTTAAGACGCTATCTAAAGAAAATGATTCCTTTAGATTGCAAGTTTGAAACCAAGCGTGTGATGGCATTTTCATTTTAAAAGTAACATCTTTTTCACCTATTGAATCTACTATTGCACGAACAGGTATTTGTTGCTAATAACATATTTACGCACGTCTTGAATAAAAGTAAAGTACAAAGGTCTCTGTTGCTGTAAAAAAAGATCCTGATAAACACTCAAAACAGCAAAGACAATCTTACAAATTTCGCGCGTAGGCTTCAAGTACAGGCGTGATCAAAAGTGTATATAGAAAAGGGAATAAAAATGTCTTGTTGGTGTAGTTAGCATCGAAAAAGAATCGATGTCCTTGGTTTGTTCCAGTTAGCATCGAAAAAGAATAGATGTCCTTGGTTTGTTTCCTAAGCTCATGAAATTTGTGGATTGTGTGCATATGCCACAAAAAATGAGCTCAGGGAAGAGGGCTACTGAAATACTCTGCTTATTCGCCGAAGAACTAGTGAGTGGAGATTTTTTAAAGCTTACTTGATACAAATTCTAATCCTATTATTCAAACTTGCACCCGTCCGTGACCATTGCAAAGAAACGCTGCCAAGAACGACTTAACCGAAAAATGAGTATCAAAAATTATGATTTCGTCCCAAATCCATATCGAAACTCGTCCAGGAAGCGCTATTAGCGCTGAATGGAAATTTGTTACCGTCTACACCGTATTGGTGGTTAATTCTCCTAACAAAGGGTGACTCCAATCGTTAACATATTGTCTCTTTTTATAACGCTATCCAAAAATGAATTCTTACGTAAGTAGATGTTCTTTCGGCAACGAATTCGTATTCTGGCGAAAAGAAACAAAAATGTGTAGCTAACGACAGATGAAGAAAGCGTCTTCTACTATTTTCTTAGAATAAGCGTCCTTTTCTTCCCTAAGGCGCATTGATACTTTTTGCGGGTAATGTTCAAAAAGTCCGTACCAGTTAAAAAATCGATATGATCTCATTGTGTTACATGGTCTAATCATTGTATAGTGTAGTCATAATTTCGAATTCGAGAAGCTTCGAATGTCGGAGCTAAAGCGAATTAAGATGTTTAGTACAGCTTATCTAAACTGTCACTTTGAGTAAGAATGCTTTATACCAATAATAGAAACAAGAAAAGGAACTTAAATGAAGCATCGCTTTCACATACTCAACTTGGATGATGGGTATTTAGAATTCGTTGTATGGCGCGTATAGTTTCCTTAGTTATCTTCCTAACTACTCGGAAAAAAATTTTCTTTGGCTTTTCTATTGGGTATGATTTTTTCTTTCTTTTTTTTTGAATGCATTTTCAACTCTCATTCGCCCTTTTTTTCTATCATTTCTTTTACGTTCAGTGCTTTTCTACTTCAGCTTCGTGTTTTAGGCATTCCTAGGGAAAAAAATAAGAGAACTCAATTTTTGTAAAAACACAATTAACTTAACCAACGATTTGTTTACGTTTTTTGTGTTTACATTTTTTTTGTGTGTTCAGTGCGATTTTCTTGCAATGCTAGGAAATCTTTGCCCTTTTTTTACACATATTCTTCGCTTTATTTATTTTCTTTGAAGTTTCTCCACTACCTGAGGCAGTTCATTAAGTAATGTCACAGAAATCATTTTTTTGGTTTTTTTTTTTGTTAGTACCACGTTTTTGGAATATAATAGTCAAAGGAAACTTTGTTAATGTCCTTTAACGTTAATTGGGTCAAATTCAAGTTAATTAATTCAGTTATTTACCACTAAAGAAAAATACAACCATAGTTTACTTTGCTTTGAAATAAGTAGAAGCAGATTGAGGCTTGGCTTGTTTGGGAATAAAAAAAGCAAGTAAGAAAGTTGGCATGCTCACCTCCATTAAAATCCTTGATTTTCCCGGAACTTTATTTATTGTCATAAAAAAATGGATGGGATAAAATGTATCTTTTATCTTTTACTCCACACTTTTACAGGAAAAGTTAATCTTACCTCAAAGCTCTTTTTTTCATACTCACATGGGCGGTATTTTTAAGAAAAAATTTATGCAGCCCGTCGTGGTCTAGTTCTGCCACAGTTAATTTGGAATTAACACACTTCGCTTGTCCCACTCTACCCTCCTTTTACGTGAGACCCATATCAACTATATTGTAACGTTGTGTGTACGTGTGTGCGTATCTCCATAAGCATGGCAGCGACCTGCTGGACGTCTGGCATGTTTTCTACTTCCAGAAATCTGAAAAGCCTGTTTCTCAAACATACCCAAGCCGGACAAATGAATGCAGTCTATTGGGCATCGTCCCTCGTAACTTGGTACAGATCCCATACGTTATCTGCGCGTAACTCGAAAAATTTCCAAGTCCAGTGAAAAGTTGGATTGGGAAAAAGCTAACTTTTCAGTGTTCTTCACCACATTTCTCTACGCTTGGGATAAGGCTGTAGTTTCACCTCCCTTTGGAATCTTTTCCCCATCGCTGCTATCGTTCTGTCAACATGACCTGGCGGATAGTAGTCTTAAGTCTGCAGACTTCTCTGTAGTTTCCTTCCCCGGAAGTTTTTTCTTTTCTTCTGTTCTGGACATTTAACTGTTTCTTCTATAGGAGCTCAATGGTTAATATTCCCGTCAAGACCGCTGCGCCTGCTATTGAAACTGCTCGGCAAGCCAATATCATTCCCAACGTGCGCACACTTGAACCTCTTCGAGCTGTCGTGAAAGATGTTTACTTTGTAAGACGTTTTCTGCCCAAGTCGAGGCGGGGTACATCGTGTACGCGTAGACTACGCTGAATGTTTTCGCTGCGCCGGTTTTTACCCATTCACGTTTGAGATAATCTTGCACAAAGTGCTTGTGGTTGACAATAGCTTATCCAAAACTTTCTTAACGCGTTGCTCGAATGTCAGTTTCGCATCTAATGGCACTTCCAGATATCTCAAATTAAAGCTAAATAGAATGCAGTATCCTTCCGTCTCTATTTTTGCCAGGACAAGAGTTTCTTCTGTGACCATTTAATCAATAAGAAACAGTTGCTATTTCTGTAGGCTTCGCAGAATTGCAATGTGTCGATTTGCAAAAGCGATAGACATTTCTATAAATTCATTACTTTAATGTATTAAATTTTTTTTATATGTTTTGCAGTTCATATCATCCGATACACACATTAAGATCTGCTTAAGTCTTTGTCATGTGAAATTTTTTGTTTTGTTTTTTGGTTCGCAAAAAGTGTGTTAATATTGCTACGCATTTAATTTATGTCATGTGATAAGGGATTAAAATCAACTTAAGCTATATTAATCAGTCGGAGTTATGGAACAAATGTAACAAATGAAAAAATCACAAGGGTATTAATCAATTACTTTGAACATATTTCGTATAATGCTAACAGCTTTGTACTTTTAGCAACATGAACGACATTACATATAATCACATCGTCATATCCTCCGTATGAGTGGCCAAGTTTGTAAGAATTCCGACTACTAACTCAGTGTCCGGGAGTACAAACCTTATTTACTGTGGTCGTAGCAGTTATGAATGTTCAGCCGGTAAACATACAACACTTTCGGTCAATTACCCACTAGGCTGCAGCCCATAATTCTTTTTCTTTCCGCAACACCTTCTTTCCGAACAAACACCTTATTACATAAGCAACGGACATTTCCTGCGTTATTCGTCTTATAATGGAAAAAAGATTTTAAAAAACGATGTACCAGTACGCATAATAAGAAAATCTTTGCTATTATTTCTTAGTAATTCAAAGACGCTCGCCTTCGGAAGTCAAATTGCACAATTCAACGATTCTTCCATTAACAAATCTGGACCGTGATAAATGTGTTTCTTGAAGTCCTTAACAATTTTAACGGGATGGAATTTTCTATGAAAAAAAATGTGGTTTCGTCCATTCAACGTTGCCTCCCAATTTCACAAGAAATAGGAAAAACTGCGTTTGACCCATCTGCTTATGCCCAAAGAAAAATAAAATGGATAATCTATGCCAGGTCTTACATTCGCCTAAGTTCTGGCCTCCAAGAGCTTACATTTATTTAAAGCAAAGTTACTTTGCCTATCAAAATCGTTTCCAATAGTCCCATAATTGAATTAGTGAGAGAATTGATTAGTGATCAGCTATAAATTCATTTTATTCAATAATTTTAATAAACTTGATGCAATGTTTTTATTTCCCGCGTAAGTGAAGCCAACGAAAGAACGAAATTTGATACAAGGTCATAAAAAATATAACAAACATTGTGCAATGTACACTACTGCTATTTTAAGAAAGGATAACCGCGTAATTTGGACAACTTAACAATCGTGTTGTAGTGGGTTGGCATGAGCTAATCTTAATTGACCAAATGCAGAGAATTTTGAAGCCACGAGGCTGCGAGCTTGTGACAGTGCAATTAACGTTTTACGTTTCGCTACGATTTACCCAGTATAGTAACAATGATAATAAGAATGTTGCTTTCATATACAGAGATGAAAGACCGCATAAAGATTGTAAAGAGAGTCGATTAGGGCAGGATTTTGCATTCAATAGGTATTTTATGCGATATATAATTACTTTGTTCATCAACGGAGCGTTTGTTGAATTCAAATAAATTTCTGATTTTTTCAATTAAACATTTATTGCCAAATAACGATATATTAAGTTTTATTCGCAGTAGTAACTATTACTGGCTACTGTTTCCACGTTGGTACGACTCTTCGAGTTTTCAACACTAACATACCCATCTTCTGTTACAATTGGATCAATTGTGGTTGGTGGCAATTCTCCTTAATCGTTTCATTTTGTTGGAACAATACGCGGCGCACTTCTGATTTTCGTGAATTTGTTCCTAAATTTTTTCCCCATATGTCTTTCAAGGTTTTTTAAAGCCTTGCAATGTGCTTTCTGTAATTATCGATGTAGAAGCTGCAGGTATGTTTCACCTTAGGCCAGCTTGGTTAGTTCAGCAGTAATAAACCTTAAATTTATTTGCTAATATTTGCACTTATTTTATATTTAATTCATTCCTCTCTAATGAAATTGCTTTTAAATGAATGGGGGCTTAGAGTAACTAAAGCCCCCATTTGGATCTTAGTTGATTTTGCATACTCAGTTTCTTACGAGTAAAGTGGCCATATTAAGTTCAAAAACTAATTAAATCGAACCAAGGCTTTCCCGGCTATTATCAAACAGTTAGTATACAATTAAGGAGGGAAGCTGGGGTAATTACTTGAAAAATCATCGTCACTGGACGATTCCATCTACAAATTTTTTTTTGTTGATTTAATCAATTATTTTATCGGACGGTTAGGAGATATCCCCTATTCGTGTAATACGATGACGGTCAGAAGGAAGTGAGCAAAGAGAAAGACATACGCTATCTGTGGAAAGAGAAATAGATGGGGAGAATCGCATCCTAGTCGTCGTATGCACAATTGATAAGTTTTATGCCTTTGCCAGACTGAGAACTCGCTCTGCCGCGTCGATTTGAACGCGAACACAGACTTTGCAGTCGCGATCCTTATCTATTCGGCCGGTCATGTACTCTAATCTTTTCTAAATATGGATGAATTGCTTCTTTCCATACATCGAATACATGTCCTATCCAACAAAACGGTACTTTGTAAATCTCATACCCACAACATCAAGAGTTGGTGAATCCCTTATTGAATGACTTCAAATACGTTGAAGCTTCACTGTTGCTTAAAAACCGTAGCTATATTTAGACAACTTGTACATCTTGATTCTCTCATTTAAAAGCAATGTACTCATCAATCTGTTATAATCAGTTAAAACTTGCTCTCTTAAGCTGTAGTCATACGACTTTAACAACCTTTACGAGCTTATGATTAAATATCGGAAATTCTGTTTGTAGAGAGATTTAAAATGCGGTCAACTACCTCTCTTACCATGATTTACTATACTGCTAACAATTAAATCCAATTAAGAATTCTCTTTTAAACGATTTCTAAAGCACATCAAATAACGAGGACTTTGCTGTGTGTAAAGAGGAAAGCAATGTGTTTGCAATTTTTTGTGCATGAAACATGCTTCAATGCTGTCGGGATCATTGACTATCAGAGCGAGTTTGTAACCATTTATATTAACAATGAATGGCATTAGACAACAAAATTCTTTGATAATGACAAAGCCAAGTGGTGAAGAGAGGGAAAGAGGATTATGTACAAGATTTTATTAAGTATTAGAAAATTAATAAAAAACTCAGTCAGAGCTTAATAAACAAAAAATGTTCGGTAAAAAATTGTAGGAGATTTTAGGAAACGCTCTTTACTTACGTAAGCGGGCATACGGTTTCCTTTTTTTTTTAAATTTTTTTTATTTTTCTGTGTTGTTTTATTTTTTTTTTTTTCTATTCCTTATCCCATGACTCGGTAATCACTTAAAATGCATATGTGTTTGTTTAAGCGCTTCGGTGAGTTGTTTTCATACCTGTTTGTTTAACGATAACCATCTCTGGTGACTTTGTGCGTAAAAGTGTTTGCTTCCACTTGAAGAAATTTAATTTCATTAATGAGTTTCACTTTATATTTTCTTACTTCGTATTAAAAAGAAAGTGTAATATACTTCTTTTCTAGCTTTTCTTTAATTTAGAAGAAGAAGAGAAAAAAAAAAAGAGAAAGAAGCAAAGAACAAAGAAAAACTAGGAGTTTTCATATAATCATTCCAGTGTAGATTCATTTATTGCGATTTCTAATTTTAAGTTTCCCATCCGTTCGCTCCTTTCGCTACGCCTCACGCGTTCACACTCATTCATTTATTTTCTATGACAACAAGAATGTCAAAGTGCGACTACGTTTAAGTATTTGCCTAATGATTGCAATGATGTTGTTGCTTTATCCCGCTGCTGTACGGATGAAAAAGGATGTCTTATATAATTCCGTGCCTCCTAGTTTGAAGACTCTTTCTCTTTTTATCGCTTTTGTTTGTTTTCTTTTTTTCTAATTTGCAAGTATTTTCACTTCTAATGCTTAAGGTTTCCTTTTTTCTTTTTATTTATTTTTTTTTCATTTCTCTTTTGTGTTTGCCTTACGGTAGCGAATCCTTAAGCGTGCAATGTTTTCATTGGGTGCTAACGCGTATGGAGCATGACATGGACATGATTGTCAGTGACAAGAAACAAGCACGTCTTTGGGCCAAACGTTTACATGTTGCTCTTCAGGTAAGTCTGTTTTTATTATTACAATAATTAGTCTGTCGTTGCTATAGTAAAATTGTCTTGCATTTTATTTATTTATTTTAATGTCTGGCTATCCAAATTACAAATTTCTGTATGCCCGTCCACAGAGGCTTTTGAATGAAAATGAATTCTTCTTAAAGTTTCTCTGTAAAGGTTTTATTTACATTGTTCATTAAATTAATTGTTTACTGATAATTGGCTTGGGATTAAAAAAAGAAGATATTTAACTACAAATCTTCCAAAATCATTTATGTCTTTCATCAAAGTAATTGTGAGGAAATAGAAAAAAGCTTCGAAAAGTGCTACAAAGATTAAACAACTTGTTCCTTCAACGAGCTGTAATAAGTTTCAGTTTTGAGTTGTTAGTCAAAGGTGTTTCAAAGCTGTTGCCCATAGTTCTTTGATTTTCTGGCAAGGTTACTGTTATGCGACCAAATTTTGGTCGAAGTCTGCATTGTATGTGTGTACGGCTCATATAAAAGTTGTATTCGTCTGTGAATGTTGGTTATTTCAACGATCCCCGCAAAAATCAAATCAAATTATGCAGCGAAAATATCATGCGCTCAACTATTGCAAGAATGTGTACAGCTCCTCTGATATTCTTAAGAAAATAAGCGTAATGTCTGTTTGGATTAAGCTAAATTTTAGATGTTGTACTTATCAATTTCTACATTGAAGGTGTTTTACCGAAAGAAGAAATTTGGCTACCAATCAAGCCTTTTAACGGGACTCTATTCCGATTTTTCATCCCACACCGGTGGTATTCTCGGAATCACCCTTGCACTATTACGTGTGCGTGCTATCAACGTTGTGCAGTTTATTACCGGGCTACGGACATCTTTTGCGCCATTCCATGTAATCCCAGGCTTAAGTCCCATGAGCAAAGTTTATGCTTGGGTATTTTCGTGGCAACCGTTCTATAGGGGGAAAAGTTATCTTTATACCAAAAAAGCTCTTGAATAGGATCACTTGGCGTTCTCGACGTTCCCGGTCGTAGTGCATCGCACGACACATCATCGAAGGTGCTCGTACTTTAATAACATTTCCTGCATCTGGAACAATTTATCTGCCTCTGCAATAATTCTTGTCTATAGTTTCTAATGTTATCACGCTTAAAACGTTATTTTCTCTTTCTCATTTTCGCCTCTACATCCTACTTCCATATATAGGTGACATGCCACATTTTGATAATTATTTAAAAAAAAAAGACTATAAAGACAATTTTCAGAATGAAGCTTTCCTAGTCTTAGCAACTTTTGTATTATTCTCTATTGAAGCCTGTAAATTATACACTTTCATTCTTGAAGCTTTATAAAATTTTGTAGCTGCTTTGGACTTTAAGTTATAATCATTTATGAAAATGATCTGTAACTAATAATTAAAAAACATACGCTTGGCAAAGCTAAGCAGACCAAAGTATCCAAATATATTAAAAATCTTATGTTGGATATATGAACGCTATAACACCTTTATCTTACATTCCTGGAGCTTACCAACATATTCACAAATCTAGTGGACTTCCTAACTGTCGTTGCGGGTCATCTTCATGAATTTCTTGTAGGTGGCGAGGAGTTTTCGATTCACGCCATTTGTTTTTGCTTTCTTAAGGGGTCCCCGTGTTGAGCAGTGCCTCCTTCCGTTTCTTGATTTTCAAATTAAAGCTCATTATTAAGTGCCTGTTACATTCCTGCTCATATAAGTCTACCTAATTATCATTCAATATATTCTGCATTTATTTCTCCTACCTCTCCTAGCACCCGCTTACATACATTCTCGACTAAAAGTATGCGAACAAATATTATATCCAATCTTCACTAATGCAGATACATTCAAGTGCTATATATATCATGATTATCTTTGGCTTGACAACAAACTCCAAACCATTTCAAAGACAAAGATTGTAAAGAATTCAAAAACAAAAAGAAACTCGCTGCCAGTGCCGGCGAAAATAATATTGTTTATGTTTACGAGTATGACTTTATTTAAATCAGATAAGCTGCCATGACTTCGTTGAATGATTTCTCGCTGTTGCAAAATCGTCTCAAATTGAGCACAATATGCGCTCAGTCGGTGAAGACGAATGGGCACACATTCGCCAGGCTGCGGACTCTCCTTATCTCTTTCTGTCCTCCCCACTTCTTTCATCACCGCGTTAATGCTATTGAGAGCGTCCCTTGTATTGGACAATTCCTCGGCTTCACCTATTGTCGAGTTAAAGCTTTTCCATCTTTGTCGCTGTAATTGGTCCAACGAGAACTATGGCAAGTTTGCGTTTTTCTTTTTATGACTTTTAGAATGTCAGAGTGATAAGTAGTATAAAATTGTCAACATATTAAAAGAAGAAGAATATAAATATATATATATTAAAATTTTTTTTACAGTTTCCAAATTTTGTGCGTATACTTTTTGGAGATACTGTATGCATACATATATATATATGAAGTGTCTAACTTGAGTCTTGTATCGACTCTAGTTTCGTTTGTGGTTATATTCCATTCAGTCATCTTCATCATCATTATCATTGTCATCACTATGATTGTCATTGTCATTATTTTGGTGATAATAATGAGAATTTTTTGTTTAATTAAAGACATTCCGGGAGTTGTTACACAGCTTAGTAGCACTGCAAAAGCTAAAGGATAATAATGCTCAAGCACTATTCGATATGTTGGTGAATAATGTCTGCTATGTTCTGGAATATCGTGAAACAATACTGCATCTATTAATGAACTATAATGAAGCACACAGCACCAAGTAAGTACTCAAACAGCGTATACACTCAACCAAGTCTGTGTGTTATTTTTACGCTGTCACATACGTATGCATTTCTATTGTATGAATTGACGTTTGCATGCATGTGTATAGAACTAGAAAATCGAGTATTTCCTTTCACTTCCTGTTTCGTTTTTCTTTTGAATTTAGCTTTTGTTTTCCCTTCAAACGAGAAACTTACTACACTTGCACACGTATATTGTATAATTCTATGCTTATGTCTGTATATGTTATATGTACAGTCGAGAGTAGGATATAAAATCTAACATTAAAAATTCTTTAAATATTCGCAAAAGATCCTCTTATGGGCTATTGTTCTTTTCGTTTCCTTTTTATATTTTAATTCCTCTCCGAAGGGCATTAGTATCTTTGCATACTTGTCTCTGCCTTAGTTTCTTGTTGTTATTATTATACTTGTTTGGGTATTAAAAAAAAAAAAATTTAAAATTTTATGCTTTTATGCACGTGTGATTTTCGCTTTTAAATGTTTGAAATAAATTTATAGTCTTAACAAGGACACCTAAACGCACTTCTGGTCTTAGTCATTTTTGCCTCACGTGTGTAATAGGTGTTTGCATATATTTTGATCATTTTTCTTTGAGAAAAATTTATACATTATAAGTTAATCAAAATATTTTCCATCATTTCCCATAAAAAATTTCCCATTTTTCTGTCAGCGTGGCGATATCGTGTCGAAAGAACGACATTGCGTTGCGTTACGATGCAATTATCGACCCATTTCCGCCAAGCTATGCTGCATTGATCTGAATAAGTGATAATCAAGAGGAGCTTTGTCTCGCGAGTACACTGGCGGAGGCAGAAATTCCCATTCCAGCTGTAACAGTGTAACGTTGACAACTCATGCAGCGTGTGGCGTTGTTATGCGAAATGATGATTTTATGTCTGCTAGCCGCTGTTGCTGGTTACTTTATCCACCAATACACCGTTCAACTTGATGCCGGTCTGCAGTAACGCTTTCATTCGGTTTTAGCAGCTCGTAATACATTGCATCCTGCTGACCCTACCATGTGCACAGCAGAACTGTGGATGACTCCCCTGGACTAACTCATGAGTTTTTACGCTTGGGACTGTCGTAATTGCTCCAATTTTGATAGCCAGTCACAATACGCCAACGAAAACTCTTGTTTTTTTTTGCCTGCCAAGTAATGAACCCGCGACGTTTAAACGGTTCGAAATGACATTTTCCGTCAATTCGCGTGGTAGCCATTTTCCGTTTTTTTTGCGTATAGACATCTAGAAACAGGTCAAAGTTCTTTCAGGATTTGAGATAAATTTTCGTTCAATTGGTCTTGCAATGCATTGTGTTCGAACTCCAAATCGTTCTTTGACGGACTATACACTTCTAAAAGTGGCTGATGGGCTTTGGAAGCAGACATTTTCAGACTAAAAAGCAAAAGTAATGAATGTCGAAAATGCAATTTTAAGTCTTCCATGATTAGCATCTACATACATTGAATAACTTAACCGTCGTGTGCGTTAATACTTCGCATGATCTTATCATTTTCATCAATAGATATCGCTGATCAAAATACATGCAAGCTATAATAAAGCAACTTAGGTTGTAATCGAATTTAATGCACAAACGATCTGAAATTTCGCAAATGCAGCAAAATTTTGCAAACCAATATTAATAATTATTTGCTACATCTATGAACGTCTTATTATATTGCATGTGCTTACCAGTTCAGTTTGTTTCAATTTTTCAATGATGATGAGTTTACTGGATACCTTTGGCTTCTATGTTGGTCTTCAATTTTTAATTATATTAAAAAAATTTGTATTTTGAAATATTTTTATCTACGATTAAATAGATACGAAAAAAATCGTATTAATAGTTCTATTCAACATCCAGAAGAGCTTGTGATATATACCCAGCTTTTATTATACCGATCTATTCAGACTCACCCTCTGAATCAAGCCAAGTTTTTCTGCCCGCCTGTCCACGCACGGGCCATGCTAATCTTCTCTTTATCGTTCCAATTTTAGTATATGTTCTGCCGTAGCAAGAACAAACCATATTGAACCATGCGCAATAAACAATTTGGACTCTGGTGTTGTTTAGGCTCCTAGTTTATAGGGATTGTCTAACTCGCCAGGGGGCGTGGATTTCGCTTAAATAATTCGCGTGGCTTGCGCCACCTTGGGGTTAAACCATCAAGGTAGGAACCCACGTGAAACCCATATCACAATCTGTCCCCCTGTCCGCCTTGTCCCGAAAATAAACGTATGTAGTGGAAACCAACTGTAACAAATGTATTGGTCAAAGCAATAGCTTGTGTAGCAATTTGCACCGTAAAATACGAAATTGTTAGACGCTACTTGAAGACTCATTTTATTTAAAACTGTTTATATTCTTATAAATGCGTGCTCCAACAATGGGCATTTCTCAACTAAATTTCCCACATTTATCTATTATATCTGAATACTAGTTTTGTAGTCAGTTACATATATTAGAATGAAAATTTTTTTTAATAGTACGAGTTTTCAAGTCGTTATGTACATGGGGAGTGGTCGTAGAAATTATCCAAAAGAAAACGTTTTCAGCGGCTTTTGTTCTTGAAACAAAACATGTTACTTTACCGAATTTCATTAAAATGTCGTGGAAAAACTTGATTCAGAAAATGCCTTTGAAACCATTGGTATAATAAAAAAAGAGCGGCTGTTGCCTTATCCGTACAACGTATCGCAAGAGATAACTTTAACGCTTATTGAAGTAAGTTAGGGCAAGTTTAAAATTCTAGTTATCGAGCTAGCTCGGACGTTATTCTCGATTTTGAATTGATACTTCTCGTTACCGGGTAAATTTTGACTATTACCAAGTTGAAGAGGCTCAGTAGCGAATTTTGCTCGACATCCCATGCAAAAGTCTATACCTTTACTATGAACCAAAAAAACAATTGTATCGGTCTTGTGTTTTGTCGTGGGTGCCATATCGACAGTGAGAATTATAAACAAACCTCTGGAGTCAACTGAAGATTACAGAGTTGATTACGAGTACCTGTGACTGCAATTAAATATTATATAAAATCGCTTTTTTACGACTACGGTAGCCCTAAATTTTTTTTTTTCTGTAACAGCAACAGAAAGAATTTAAATGGATTCCATACATTGTAGTTTAGTGATCGCATGGGTCTTGTTAATCTCAAATCCTCACAATGTTGGTGGCAAGTTTTCAATTGATAAACTTTTGCAATTGTTTACTTACAGATAAAACTTTGTTGGAATGTAGATTTTAACTTAATCAATAGTAATCAATATGCGTATTAGTATAGAGAAACGAATCTCATAAATGTTTATACAAATATGTATGCAGGTATATGCATACATTTTGTATACCTCGTTCAGGGTATTTGGACCGTATATATATAAAAATATGGGTCTGCATGTACATTGACCACCATTTTAGCAATTGAAAGGCAATTAGTTTTTTTATTCATGAATAAGGGTGAAAATTACAGCTAGAGAAGAGAAATGAAATGAACGCGAGAGTGGTGTGAATGATATATATATATATACACATATAGAATATATACACCTACATACGCATATACAAATGTGTATGTATATAAATATCTATTATATGTATGTATATATAAATAAACTATCGATGTGGTTTAAAAAATTTTGAACCTGGCAATGGAAATAAGGTTAGGTAGAAATATGTTCACGATGGTATGACTGGTTATATATAAATTTTGAATCTTTACAGGCTTAATATTTTTTAAATTAAGCTTATGACATTGTGACCAATACTCCATGAAAATGCAAAAAGACGAAAAAAGTGACTATAATTGGATAGCGACAGCAGCCATTGAAGGCAATTTGATCATGAGAATTTCTATAACCTGTGTAAAGCTGCTAACTTTATAATTTTTTGCATAGTATCACTGGCTATTCCGCTCTCTCTTCGGCCAATTTGCTCTCGTGATTTTATTAAAAGATATTTTTTGACTTTTGATAAATATAAATACATATATGTATACACAAATGTATATACATATACATTTTTTTTAAATTGCCACGAATTGGTTTTTCATCAAATGCGAAAAAGTAATCAATCACTTTAACGAGATTTAAAAAAAAAAACATAGTGATGGTCGCAAAAGAACTGAAGGATGTGGATTACGACGAATATTGCATACTTGTAAGCATTCGAATTTTAGAATAAATTCCCGTTATTATTGTAAATATTAATGCGTATAGGTTAAAATGAATATTGCCTACTTTTAGGCAATCAAATTTAAAGATAAATGTTTGTAACTAGAGTAAGATTTTTGAAATGATTCTTTAACCCTTTTAGATGACCTCGATAAAAAATTTATATGACATTTTTATCGCATAGACGATTGATAGACGATAGATTCACAATCGAAAAAATTGATTTTTTCTATTTAGGAAAACCGAATGCAAATAAAATGCAAAACATAGTGTGATTTTGTAAATGTGAATGTCTAATTACCAGTAATTTTTGTTTTTTTTTTACACATACGTGATATTTCGATTTAATTTTGTGGTATTTAGCGAAGGAAAGAACATATGATCTGAGCAACATTTTATAGCAGGACCAGCAAGCGCACATAGTATCAATTAAAGATTTAGGTCAAAAGTTGAAATATTCTTTCATTTTTATTTATTTTATATTTTTGTATGTTGTTTGTACAATGTTTTAGGACGGAATAATCGCCATTTCAATCTGTTTGTAATTAAAAATGTGAGAGTAAATGAAAAAAAAAAAAAGAAAAATGAAGAGAAATATGTAACAAACGTGAAATAGAATTTTTTATCCAATGTAGATAAATAAAACGAAAAGAGAAATAAAAGTATTTCGTTAATATTTTTGATGAAATGTTTGAACACCTTTGAAAAAAGTTCTTTGCATTCACCTAAAGTAAATATACGTCACATGAATTTTGCAAGCAAAGTAAAACCATTTTCGCATTCGCTTTTTTCACGACGTTATA